CGCTCGAGCGACCAAGTGTTCGCTCGAGCGAGCCTGTCGGGTTTATATACGCAGCAGCGGTTTTTAAAACGTTTTTTCACATTCTTTTGATCCTAAAACCCTAGTTCCGAGTTCTCTCTCCCTCTACTCACTTTCTCTCTTAGGTTTCATCATCTTTTAGTGAGTTTCTACCCCAGATCCTTTATTAAAAAGATAGTGTGAGTCGAGGGCTTCCATTTAATCTGAACGTTTGGTGTTTTGGAGCACTTTGGAATTTGGGTCTTCATCTCCGTCTTCTCCATTCGGGTTATTTTCTTCGAGGTAGGGATTTCCTACTCCATTCTATAAGTTTTGTTCTAAGTTTTGGTATTTTGATATGTTGGGAGTACTTTGGTAATTTTGGGAAAAACCCTAGTTGTATTAATAAATTAATTTGTATAATTAATTTAAGGAAATTGGGGAATTTGGTTAAATTCATGAAATTGAGGAATTCATTGATTAAATGGTGTGGTGGGATAATTTAAACCACTCGCCTAGTGAATTGTTGTTATATTTATTTCCAGTCTAGAAATAATTGTTTTGGGCTATCGGTGGAGGATAGTTGTGTTTGTTGTAGACATTGTATGTGGATTAGGGAAAATTGAAACTAATCAATTTGTTTAAGTCATAAATTTAGGACTATTGAATTAATACAGAAAATACATGTATTGATTGTGTGTTGTACATGACAAGTGTTTAATACATTGTATATGTATTTTTGTTTGGGAGGAGATAGGGGATGGACTCCATTAGCATCACTATTATGTGTGCTTATTATATTGAAGTGTTTTTACATGTTGTTGATACAGCACTAAAATGTGTATCAAACGGGAAGTATGAAGTGTTTTGATATGGGCCTGAGTCTCATTTGTTTGTTGATATTGGAAGTAATGTGGATATAACATATATAGTTCACTGTTGTAAGTTTGGCCAGGTTCTGAGCCTTATTGATAATAAAGAAAAGTGAAACGTGTCATAGACATTAGTGTCATGAAACTGTATAATGATGTAATTGATTATCTTGGTTAACCATCTATTGAATGCCATAGCTTTATTCATTGCTTATATTTGGTTTAGTATTTTTCTACTGGGCTGTGGCTCACCCTTTATGGGAACATCATTTTCAGGTTCAGGTGATAAGCTACCTCCAAGGACTTAGCTTGGAAGGAATTGGAGTTGAAGACTCTGTTTAGTTTAGTTGTTATTTATTTATTTGATATTACATGTAAACATTCAAGCCTAGGGCTTTATTTGTATTTGAGTTAGAACTCATATTCTGTGTCCAAGTGTTGGCTTGGAAAGATGTTAGCCCGTAGGGCATTTAATTTGATGTTACATATAACGCTTTTTATTTAGTAATACTCTGATGAATGAATTAATGAACTGTTTTCTTTAAATATTGCATGTCAATGATATATATATAATGGGTTAATTTTGAGGGCGTTATATCTTTTAACTGTGTAGTGGTTAATGTGTATGGCCCATCGGATGTGGCTAAAAGGCAAGAAGTCTGGGATATTTTTGCTTGGCTGAAGACTAATTTTTTGGGGCTATGGTGTATGGGGGGAGACTTCAATGAAATAAGAAACATTTCTGAAAGAATTGGATGTTCTAGACGTGACAGAGGAATGACGGATTTTAATTCCATGATAGATCAATTAGAACTGTTTGATGTACCAATGCTGGGGAGGAAGTTTACATGGTGCAATTCACAAATAAGCGAGAAGTGGAGTCGAATAGATAGATTCTTGCTTGATCCTGAATGGCTAGAAAATTTCAATCTTAAGCTATGGGGACTCTCCAGGCAGCTGTCTGACCACTACCCTATACTTCTGATGGAGGATGAAAGGGATTGGGGTCTGCGACCTTTTCGGTTCCTCAATACGTGGGCTGCTCACCCTACCTTCGTATCTGTAGTGGAGAAAACTTAGTCAGAATATCAGGTTGAAGGGTGGGCGGGTTTCCGCTATCTCATGAAGTTTAAAGCTCTGAAACAGAAACTAAATGTGTGGAATTTCGCTGTGTTTGGGCTGATTCAATGCTGATGGAGTTCAACCATAACCTGCTGTGTTTCTAGCTAGCACTGGTTTGCTGTCGGTTTTTGGTTGGTGGTCTAGCACTTGGTTGCTGAAGTTGGCATTTGGTTGTTTGGCACTTGGTTGGTTGAATTGGTTGATGGTCTGAGCACTTGTTCCTTTGTTTTTTGCTGCTGCAGTCTGCAGTTTGGTGGTCTGCTGCTGTATTGGAGGAGTTTGCTTTTTGAATTGGTTTGGCTTAGGTTCATGTATGCAAAAGTCTGCCTCCCTGTTGCTGTGTCTGCTGTGCTTATTCTGTTTTGTTCTGTTTGTTTCACTTCGTTTCGGGTTTGGTTCCTCACCAAATTCCTGGGGTTACCCTTGCAAATGATAGGGCTTTCTTCATGGTCCCAACGTAGTTGGGATTGGGTTTGATTGCTATGATGCAGGTTGCTCTCCCCCTCCTTCCCTTTTTTGATGTAATCTCGACTCTTGTATGATTTTCCATCAATAAAGGTTTCTTTTTTCGCTGATCAAAAAAAGTGACAAGCATACCAAATTAGGCTGCGATTCGGACAAATTCAAGGGAGGCTTATTAGGATTCATGAAAACTTGAACCACCTTTCTCATCCGAGGCCGAAGCATAAAATTTGGATGCAAACAAGCAAGCCCTACAATCAAACTCCTCTTCACTTCCTCCTCATCAAATTTCCCTTCAAGCAATCTATCCACGCAATCGAGCAATACATCGACAACCTTTTCGTATAACGTCCATACGCTATCCACTAAACTATTCTCATACATGATGCCTTTTGATCTCTTCCCACAAACCACTTCCAAAACCACCATTCCAAAGTTGTAAACATCAGACTCTGGGGTAGCCCTACCAGTGAAGCTAACCTCTGGCGCCAAATACCCTGGTGTCCCTGCTATCCTGGTTGTGACCAAGGCTTTGTTTTGAAGTAGCCTCGCAAGGCCAAAGTCGCCTATATGTGCATTGTATTGTGAATCCAACATGACATTGTTTGGCTTTACATCTCTATGTACAACAGGGTTGCCACACTCTTCATGTTTGGCATGTGAGGTTATTAAAACTGTGTTTTCGGAAGACGATAAAAAGTTATTTTTTTGGCTTTTTATCAAGTTTTTTCAACTTTTTTGAAAAGTGATTTGGAAAGTTGATAAAAAGTTATTTTTGATTTTTTCTGATTAATATTTATTTATGATGTCAAATCACAATAAAATTACCAAACTACCCCACCCAATTTAAAAATTTACATGTCCACCCATGTATAATCCTAAACAATATAAAGTGTATAATTGTAATTTCTCATGAAGTTTTTTTTCACCTTGTCAAATGACTTCTTGCTAAAAAAGCCAATGTAGTTCTTTGTTTTTGTTTTTTTTTTTGTTTTTTTTGTTTTTTTTTCTCAAGCCGCAAACACAGCTTTTTACCAATGTTGCCAAAAGACCAAGGCCTCTTTTGAGTAATAAATTAAAAATCACTTTTTGACTTTTAACTTATTTTAAGTCACACCACCTCTTTATTTTTTTATATATATATTTTTAAAAAGTCAAAAAAAAAATCAAAATATTAACTTTTAACCTACTTCCTAAAATAACCCTAAATCTTGTGTAATTATAATGTCACGACCCCATTCTGCCCGTAGTAGAATGGTGCCATGATGGCTAGTAATCCGAGATTACCAACGGCCAACTTACAAAGATTCACACACAAACAGAGTATACATATGGGGCTGACATGTACAGAAGCAATAATCTAATTCTAATTAGTCCATAAGAGCTGTGCATAAATCAAATAAAATGACATACATCATATCGGGGTCTTACAACTTGAATACAAATGAATAAGTACATAATACATATTGATCAAAAGGCTTCTCAAGCCGACATATGCAAAATACAATAAATCACAAGCCAAGAAGCATAGTCTTCAAGATGCTATCAAAAGTATGAATCCAAAACATCATGCCAAACGCATCTAGGCATCACCGCCGTCCTGCTTATCACCTACATATATATATAGAGAGGGTGGGCTTAGATACTCAGTGAATGATATAATCAATAAAGGGGTTTGCATGAATGATATCCGAGATTTTTATTAAACCAAAACACATCATATCTTGTACGGAATCAAAGGGCAAATCAAGTTCATCTACCAAATCTTTCAAGTCTCAAGGGATGCTTACTAGCATCAATAATACAAGGGATGACATAATCAAAAGTGCTACAAAAGTTTAGAGTCCCCTAGCACGTACGGACTTGTGCTACAAATGCTTATAGTCCCTTAGCACGTACTCAATCATAACAACACATGCTCTATAAATGGATGCAACAGTCATAGTTCTTCTAGACGGAGTAGACACGGATAACACATAATCAAGAGGTTCTAATTTCTTACGCCCTTTTGCATCCTCGGCAACCCGATTACAAAATCCATGGAGATGTGCTCCCATTTCCACTCAGGAATTGACAAAGGTTGAAGAAGTCCTGCTGGTCTCTCAAGTCCTACAAACACATGGCAAAGTCTATTGAATGCACTTTCAAACAAGCTTTACATGGATGCAAATGATCTCGACATTCCTTCAAAACTAAGTCGGACCAAAACAAAACACTGTCTCTCATCTCGGGAAAACATAATGGGCACCAACCAGGTCTTGGCCGAGGTCCCACACCTCCTTGCCGATGTGTGGTCCCAATGGCCACATTCAAGGAAATGAAGTCGGAAAAATCTGGGTTTCTCTCTGCTAAAGAACATGAAGAACATGAACATGAAGAACATGAAAAACATGAATGCTCAATCACAACTTGTTATTACGAAATCTGGGATTTCATGAGATGAGTTCGAAAACATGGACCTGGGTACCCATACTTGAAGATCTTAAGAAGACTAACACGAAAACATGAATCTTGATTCAAGTTTTCGGATCAAACAAGGCTTTTATTCAAGAACACATGAATATCTCTTTCTCTTTCTAAAACCAAACTTTAAATCAATGCATGGCTTACAAATCGTGCTCGATCATGCAATGCAGCTAGATGAACAATAAGAACAACAAGAGTAGATCAAGAATCTAACCTCAAGACACGAATCTAACGGCTCAAGGTGCGAAGATCAAGCTTGGAAATCTATTCCCTCTCTAAGAACTCCTCCTTCTTCTTCCTAGAGCCTTTCTCTCTAAAAGACAAGGATATGATACAAAATGATGTGTTTCTCAACAGCTCACCGACTTAACCCTCTGCTGGGACACGTGGCATCAGCTGGTCGGTTCTTCTCAAAAAGGTGATTGAGTGAAAAGACAAGACTATGACAAAGTGTGTTCAACAAGCAAGATGGCATAGGCACTCCGGCAGGTAATGATCTCGGCTGAGGACAAGGCTTCGGCAAGTAAGGTCCCAATGATCTCGGCTAGGAAGGACAACACTTGACTTAGCTGTGCCACACCTCGGTCTAGGTCATACCAATCCAGGAACAAGATCACTAGGTGCAAGGGTAACATCTCGACCTTGGTGATGAACACCTTAGCCTAGATAGTGACATCTCGGCCAATATGCCAAGGTGCGAGTGGAGGTTAACCAAAAGATTCCAAGATAGTCCTAGGTATAAGAGATTCAAAGGTGCGACCCAGGCTTAGGATGACCTCGGCTAAACTCACACCAAGCAAGGAACAAAGCATGCAGTAACACTTAAGCAAAACAAAGACAAGATTTGAAATGCAAGCTTAACAAGACAAAATCATATAAATGCATGAGAGCATGACTAAGATGAAGTGAGGGTTGTTACATATAATGTGAGATAGAGATAGGTATTGATATTTGTTAGGAACACAAAAATATTTAAGAAAATAAATTATGATTTAGATTTAATTCTTATAGGATCAGATTCATACTTAAAATAATCTGCATCATAGATTTTTTTTTATCTTTTATTTTATAAATATTTTTGGTGTGTCAGTTCTTTCTCCTTTAAGATTAATATATTGTGTGGTATAGAATGAATTGGGTTACTAAGAATATGCGATGACAACAAAAGAATATAATTTTGAATTTCTAATTTTTTACTACTAGGCTGGATCAAAGAAATCTAAAAAAAATGATCAATATATTATTTTATTTTTTTGAAAAGAGGGGCACTTAAGTGTCATATAACATAACAAGTGTTTAAGAACAAATGTTCTTAGTGCACAAGTAAATGATAAAAAAATTAAATAATATAAGACATTTTTCACTAAATTTAATGTATTTTTATTGACATCAATACACTTTTTAACATTTTTATATATTTTTAAAACACTTTATACATACTTATTACTAATATTAAATAATACATAAAGGGTACCTGTTAGTATTTACCTATTAATGTTTGGTATATGCTGATTTAATAACTTAAAGTTATAGGGGGATTAATTTTGGTAATTAATTTTTTTTATAAAAATCCATTCATGCTAGGGAGGTTAGTTTGTGTGTGCTCCATGCGAATGTGGATCCTAAGATGAATGTTATAACAACCCCGACCTGTGATTAGCTTTTAATTTATAATTAAATATGCCTAAGAAGAATTAAGATGATGTTCTGAATTTATTTGCATGTGTGTATGGCATTATTTGTGTTCTTATCTGTCCATTGTAGGAATATCTGTTTGAACTTCTGTTATATTTAGCGAATTGAAGGCCTTATCGGCATCCGATCGCGGAATTGACTTGATTTATGTGTTAATTAGAACTTTTAGAATTTTATGGTAGGTTCAATTAAAATTTGATTCGGAGCGAAATAATTAGAATAATTAATGCTTATTTGATTAGTGGTAAGCTTAATTAATTAGTCCACTAATCAAGCCTATATAAGGCTGCTATGTGCATCTCAACTCACCTTTCTTCATCATTTTGTTGATACCAACCGTGAGAGAGAGAAGGGGGAGATTAGAGCCAACTTTGAAGAGAATTGAGGTCAAGCTAGCAACTACTAGAGGAATTGAAGGGAATCGGTGAGATTAAGCAAGAGATCACTAGAATTTAAGGAATTGTGGATCCTAGGTAAGAAATCAACCCTTAAGCTTTATTGTAGACTCACTTAAGTAAGGAACTAAGAGAATTAAGTGAATCAATCCAAGAATTAAGCTAATGACCTAGAAGAGAAGAGCAAATCATGCATGCATGCTCATTTGATCATAATTAAAGTTATTTTCAAGAGAATTCTCACATGCATGTTAGTATCTTGGTTTTGTTCAAGGAATTCAACGTGTTTTAGACCTAAACATCTCATTTGATCATGATTTAGAAACTTGGAACTCAAATCATTTCATGCATGTCATATTCATGTTATGTTTTTACATTTTAAACTTGATTGTGTACAATTGCATGTTATTGGGCCTTGATTTTTGTGAAATGATTTTGAATTCACCATGTCTTCCAAATTTACAATAATTTCCTTAAGTTTTTGGCTCAAGAAACCATAATTTGCAGCTTTGGGGTTGAATTTGAAGCTTAGAACCAATTCTAAAAATTCCTGAATTCTGCTTCCACGTTCAAGCAACAGATCCTGTGCTCGAGCGACCACCTTTATTTTTGCACTTTCGCTCGAGCGACCAAAAGTTCGCTCTAGCGTAAAATGCATACATCCAAAAGTTTGCGTGTTTTGCAGACCGCTCGAGTGACAAAAGTTGCACTTGAGCGAGCATTGAGCGAAAAAATCAAGCAACTAGCACTTTTGCAAAGTTTACAGACCGCTCGAACGAAGAAATGTACGCTCGAGCGACCATTCACATATTGCATGTCCGCTCGAGCGAGACCTCTGTTCTCAACAAATTTTGTTAAGTGTTTCCATGTACATTTTAGCATCCTCATTGCATCCTAGGCATTCTTAGGCTAAGATTAAGACACCATAATGAGGATAAGAAGTAGAAACACCAAGATAAGAAAGAATTAAGTTAATGTTTCCGAGTGTGTAATTTAGAACATGTTCGTTCTATAACTGTGTAGGTCACGCACCACAAGACG